CGAAGTGGGCTCTGAGCTGACAGCAGTGAGCCCAGTGTGGGGCTTGAACTCACAAACCACAAGATCATGACCTGAGCCGAAGCCGGACCCTCAACTGAGCCACCCAGGTGCCCTGTAAAGGGACTTTTTAAATAATAGGGTCTGCTATTACCAAGGGCCAGACAAATTTTAGGCAAATTACCAATGCCAGCTCTGGGCATTTCTTCTGTGCCACCCTCTCTGCTCTGCACCCTACCCTATCCATCCCCAGCCTGCCACCCTGGTGCCTTCACCACGTCCCCTGCTTGGGCAGGAGCAAGCATCCTCAGCTAGCAAGGAGCTAGGTATGGGACCCTGTGAAGTAGACGACTAATAGCCCAACACATTAAGGAGAGAAGTATCCTTCATTGGTTATCAGTTCAGTCAGAGATCATCACCCCTTTCTTTCCACCCACCTGTAATGTCATGTTTGCTAATGCCTTCACTGCTTCTCTTATTCTTCTTAGACTAAATGTTTCATCTGCGGGATTGGCAATGATTACTTTGACACGACCCCTCATGGTTTTGAAACACACACCTTACAGGAGCACAACTTAGCCAACTATTTGTGAGTACCCTTGGTCAATGGAGGGGCCAGTGGCCAGGGGAAGGAGTGGCAGATTAAAATAAACAGTTGTGTCCTCAGTGTCACCTCTGTGGGTGCCATTTCTGCCTATTCCTCTAAAAAAGGAGAAGTGATTAGGAAAAAATTTCAAGGAGCCCCCAAGAGCCTGCACCTTTGTCCCTATTCTCTGCCTCTCCTGGGTGTTGACAGATGGGGGCTGTGGGCCGTTCCTACTGATAGCCACGGTCAGCCCCTCCACCCAGGATCAGACCCCATACATCACTACAGCCATTTCTCTTTCTCTACTGGACTTTCCCTATCACCATACATGCGTTCTCTTTGAAAATCCTAAACAAAGCAAAAAGGCTACCGCCCTACTTTTACTTCCAGCTATTATTGCCCTGCTTCTTTCTTTCCTTTCCAGCAAAACTTAAAATGTCTGTGTTTACCGCCTCTTACCGTTTTTTCTCTTCCCATTCTCCGGTGATCCCATCCTGGTCAGGCCTTCCTCCCCACCACGCCACAGGGGCCTCCATCAGGGCGGTCGGCGCCCTGTGTGTTGCCGGATTCCATGGTCAGTTTGCAGGCCTCACCCTGCCCGTCCTCTCCTTGAACATAGGAGCTCTGCAAGCATGGGATAGTTGTGGGTGTGGGTGTCCCAGCACCTAGAGCTTGGCCCCCTGGAAGCTCCAGTAAGTATGTACTTGTTCTGAGGTAGAGCATTCACTCAAGAACAAGTTATTCAGAGCCTGTTGTGTGCCATGCACTGTGTACGAATCCTGTACCTTAGAGAATATAGAGTACCTGACAATACAGTTTCTCTCCGTGATCATTTTCAAGAAAAGAAAAAAAGCGGCTCCCTGGCTTAGCTCTTCCCCCTGAGTCAACATTTTATTGTTGAGGAAAAACTAACCTCTCCTTAGGATGGAACAGCCCTAGCCTTTGGGAAAGGTGTTATTGTTAAAGAGAAGTAGCAAAGACCTATTTTTTTTTCCCCCTAGAATGTGAGTTCAAGACAAAAACACAAATTTAAAAAAATCCTAACGAGAACAAACACTAAAAAAACTTTAGCATACCCTTCAAGTCATGAGTATTCATGATTGTTAATTCTCAGTAAGAGAGTTTTCGTCTCAATGGAGGTGACCGGGATGGATGTCCTTCTATAAAAGGGGAGCATTTGTGAGGACTCGTGAATAGAGGAATGTCAAATGGTGCTATGTGGCCCACTTGTACGTCTTCCCAGAGCACTATGTATTGTGACAATGTCCCTTCTGGCTCTGTGCAGCTCTAGCAGCAAGCTTGAGAGAACCCCCTTATTCATGTTTGAAACTCCCCCTAAAAACAGTGCTTTGTCAAATAAATGTGCGAGGAAAGGAGCAATGTCCTACATGCCTGGGTATCAGACCTCATAAAGCTACTGGCCATACCTCCTTCTTAGTCTGATCAAGGAAGAGGGAGGAAGGAACCAAATCTGTTCATAGCTTCTGAAGCTATAACCCTAAGGACACCCCAAAGGATGTGAAATCTGGGGCTTGGGTTCTCCCCACCACCAGCCTCACAGTCCTATACTCAGAGGGCAAGAGACTGGCTCGTTTGGAAGTGGTCTCTGAGATCATGCAATGTGAGCTGAATGATCAGCCCCCGCCTCCATGGATACTTGTGTGTTCCAGAAAAACAGACCCAAACCTCAGACCCATCACAGTTAGAACAAGTGAGACTACGTGGACTTTTCTCTGGTATCCATAATACAAACAAAACTATTTCTGGAAGAGTCGCAGCAACTTAAGGAGGTTAAATACTTCCCACCTTTTCCATGACCTATCCTTGAGACACACACACGTAATTTCAGTTCTATGTTCACCTATTAAGAGCGTTTTAGTCACCATTTGGTTGTTTAGGGCTTTTTAAAAAGATAGCCAAAATGCTTCCTCATAAGTTGTCTTAGCTCAAGGTTTAGGGACAAAAGAATTTCTCCTCACAAAAAGAGTAACCAAAGTAATGTCTTTTTCTCACTTACACCTTTTTTCTCTTGTTCCAGGTTCTTCCTGATGTATCTGATTAACAAAGATGAAACAGAACACACGGGTCAGGTGAGAAATAAAATATCTTAAGAATCATAGCCCTGCAGTCTAGAGTTTTCTGCACTTAGAATTAGATTGACTAAATATATTACATTGGATTAGAAAACATGTGACAAAACACCACTCTTCCCCCGCTACCTGAACTCCTAGCCAGTGAGGAAAATGGTCTGAAAGTCTTGTCACAGAAGTGTTAGCAATGCTTGTCTCTCTGGCTGGTGGGTTATGAGTGTTGGTTTTTTGGTTTGGCTACGTTTTCTGACTTTCGGTCATGATTTAAATTGCTTTTGTAATAACAAAATAATTTTTTGATTTAAAAAAAAAATCATAGCCCTGAATTGAGTTTCCTTTTCAGAAGCCTTGAGACTCACCAGAGCATCCAATGTCTGAAGTAGACGGATGATTCCCTTAGTGTCTCACATGCGTTCTTCCTCTGTGTTATTCCGCCATCTCTTTGTGACCTGAGAAACCCCACATCCTAAGGCAACTCCCATCTATTCCTAAAGACTTTCTGGTTATCCTTCCCAGCTAACACTGACATTTTCTAAACCCTTATGGTTACTGCTTCAGAGTAGAATAGCTGGAGGTGGGGAGAACATTACAGAGAAAAAGACAAGGAGAAGCTGAGTGGGCGGCTTAACAAAGAGAGTAAAATGGTGTGAGAGACAGCCTGAGAAAGATAACCACCTCATGTGTGGGTGACGCAGGGAATGTGGAGGTGTGGATAGTATGAGTGAAAGTATGTGTCAAAAGGGATTCTGTGACTAAGTAGGAGAAAGAAATGCAAAGATAGAGAACAAGGGAAGAGAAGGTAGGTTATCAAGTATCCCAACATCATCAGGGTGGTAGGAAAACTTCACAGCTCACACACTTGTGAGGCACTTGGTTCTGGATCTGCCTTCAGTGCCCCAGGTGTCTGCCCGAGCTAGCACTCACTGTCCCCTCATTGTGCATTATTCTGCCTACTACCAAGTACCAGTGGCATAGAATGAGCTTATTTCTAGATCTTTAAGCAATTCACTGGCAATCATTGCATGGTGTTCAGTGTTTTGAGTTTTGCGGGGAAAGGAAGGAGGAGTCAGGTAGGGAATGACTTTTTGCTCTCAAAATAGTCTAGGCTGGGAACAGAGCAAGGAAGAAGGTTCTAGTTGGGCCTCATATAAATGAAACCCCCTCACTATTCCCAGAGGGATACCTACAGAGTAAAAACAACGCAGGTTTTAGCTTACTGTGGTTTCAAAAGAAGTACCCTTTGTTCCCATTGTTTCAGGAATCTTATGTCTGGAAGATGTACCAAGAAAGGTGTTGGGATTTCTTCCCAGCTGGTGACTGCTTTCGGAAACAATATGAAGATCAGCTTGGATAAATCAGAAAGAAACTCCACAGTTCTGGACCACTTCCAGTGGAATAAATCCTTTTACAGTTCTGCAAAATAATTGAAATGTGACATATTCTAAATGCCTCCCTTATGAGAAAGTGTTTGTTAAAAATATGTGAGATCTTGGAATTGATTTGGCCTTTTGTGCCTAATGGACATAGCCCTGTGGGAGACAACCTCTCAAAATGTTAAAAGAGGGCAAAGACGCAAGGAAACTAATTGAATACCTTCAAGTTTTTCAGTTGTAATGGAACTAGTTTGTCACAATGGCAGTCATTGAGGAAAGGACTAGAAATATGAAGTCTTCAATGCACTGTACCTGAAATTTTACGCACTTGAATGTCACATGACGGTATCCACTAGTGACTCATGATCTGAACTACAAAAAACATCATTTTAACTGCAAATTTCTCCCATGGTACTTGCTAGTGAATGTATTCAGAATCAGCTTGAAAAGCTTTAAGCAGTTACAGAAATAGAAAAAAAAAACACACTTTGTCGACACTGAAATATCGATTAAGTGCCTTAAAAATCTCTTTAGATATAGCTATGCAAATTTTTTATGTTTATGTCCCAGATGGACATAGTTCCATTAATTAGTTGTGATCTTCTGTCTTTATGAAACTGCACTTGAAGGTTATTCATATAATTTTTTTTTTCCAGTAACAGCTTGTCAACTGCTGTTATTAGAAGTACTGTACTGAAAATTCAGAAAAAGTTCAATCTTATGCCAAATTGAGTACTGCTTTCTGGTCCCCTTGTAAGTAGTGGAGCTGCTGTGTTTAGGTGAATCTCCTTAAATAAAAGGAAGTGCCCACTGCAATAAAGTAATACACCCCACTCTCTGGCGTTGGCGTCTTGCGTTGAACCTCTTGCCGCTGACTCCGCAGCCGCACTGTGACAGCTGGGAAAAGGGACACGACACAAATGGCCTAAAACCCCACCCAGGAAAGAAAGGAAGTCCACACACCAGCGTTCATTTATTTGGGCCAGATGCATGCCTTGTTGCTTGTGTCTATCAGCAGCACCTGCTCTGCCGTAAACATTGAAAGGAAGGAGGCTGGAAACAAGAGCCCTAACATCCCCTGCCCTTAAGGGATCTACTAGATCACTAAGCCAGAGAACAAATGCAAGGAGCCTCTTAAAGGTATAGTCTCATGTTGTGGAACACAGAGGTAGGCTGTACCGCGGCAAGCATTGACAGGACGCACTGGCGTGGGGCATGCTTGTAAACCAGCTGTTCTGGAAGGACAGCCTTGGGCCCGCCCTTGCTGACAAGGCCACCGAAATTTGCTTCAGGCACTTTTTTTCATTTTTCTTTCTATACGTTAGGAAATCATGCTGTCCAACCAGTCTTCGAGCTCTTCCTCGGTAACAGTTTTTGATGTACTTGCTTGCTCCGGTTCCACGTTCTTTTCTTCCACCACAGAGGGCTCTGCAGGAGCTGGGAAATAAAAGCAGTGTTAACAACTACACGTTGGTCCCCAGAGTGAGGGTTAAGGCTGCCTTGGAGCTTGTTCCATGACAGAAGTCAGCCCTACCTGTTTGCGTACAACAAGGGGAAACGTTCTGTTATTCAATCAGTTACAGTAATATCCTCACAATAAATGGGGTAGAGATTTGCCCCTCTAGTTATTCTGAAGTTGCCTTTTACCGTTCACTAGTTTCTTAAAAAAGACCAACAGCTCAGTTTTGACTATCGTAGCACTCCTGGAAAGTCTTCAAAGGTTCTCCAAGGCAGTGTGTGGATGCAGCAGTCACCCTCGGCCTCTCCCTATCAGATGGGCCACTGTCTCGCAGAGCGCACACAAGGGAGGGAGTGCTCTTTTGTAAAAAATAAGATCGAAACAGCAAGCAAGAAGTCTGGAGAGTTGGTTAACTGGCCTGTTCAGATAGTCGATTAAAAGGCCTGCTGATGCACAGCTGAGGACCAGGAGAAGCTTAATGCCTTTTTATAGCTCGAGTTCAATCTGCAGCCCCGGGTTTAATATTGCAGTCAGGCAGGTAGCAGCTTTGGAAGCCGGGTGTATCGAGTGGGAGGAAGGGTGTCAGAAAGGTCAGCTCAGGGGGAAGTGGGGATGTGAGCACAGAAATAGATGTCCATGGACCACAGCAGATCGATGTCAGACGCTGATGGAGATGTGTATGGATGGGACGCAGGTGGGGCTGTTTGCAGAAAAACAGGAAGAGGGATAGGGAATCAAATGGAAGCCATACCTTTTTCTTCTGGGGCCACCTCCCCATCTTTCTCAGATCCTCGGTCCTGAGATGTCTGGTCTGGTAAGATGTTCTCTCCCTCTTTTATAGGTGCGTCTAAACTCAGCAGCAGATCTAACTCTTCCTCCAAGGGGCCTGCTGCTGACTGCAGTGGGCCAGTGGGTTCCCGGGAACCCTTTGTGGGACCTGGGCTATCTTTACCCAGGTACATGGGGCAGCCAGCAGCAACAGACTTCAGCTCAGCAGACCCCCTTCCTCCAGGCCCCAAGGGCCCTTTTAACTGCATCCCTCGTCCCTTGCCTTCATCATTTCTCTTTGGTTTCACCTGAGGAAGCTCTAAAGGAAGAGTGGTCTGAAAGAGAAGCATAAAGAGTTAAAAAAATCTTGAGTCCTGCCACATTTGCTTAAGCAAAAACAAAGGAAGCCAAACTTTGGGCAATGGCTAATTCTATCCAGACAGCAAGTCCACAAAGGGTCTCGAATTCAGGCCCTGCCCCAGCACCCTTCCTTACTGATGGGGGCTAAAACATGGGAGACCTCACTGAAACACAACAGGGCTGGGCTTCCCCCTCTGCCCCACCTCCACTGTGTGTTAACTCAGAGTTGAAATCAAAAGGGCCATGTCTTTCTATAACTGCCCTGAGAGCTGGCAGCACCACAGGTCTATATGAATGTATGTATACTTCCATCTGTGAGGACATAAACATCTGTAAAAGGCACCGAGAAGCAATCAGCCAATCAATGTGTGAATAAGAAAGGTGAAGGGAGAAGCTCCCCAAGGTAAGAGGGACGCTTGCTAACATTTGAGTAAAAAATGCCAGACAGGAAAGAAAACATACTTGATTACATTCGTCAAAAGTACAAAAATGGGCAAAACTGATCTTTAGTATTAGGGATCAGGATAGTAGTTTTTAGGGCAGTAGTGACTCGAGGGAGGGGTGGCTTCTGGGGTGCTGGCAATATCCTGATTCTTGCTCTGGATGCAGAGTCCACGGTTATACATACTTATGCGTGCACTTTTCTGTAATGACTTAACAAAAGTTAACTCTTCAGGGGACTGTAATGTGGAGTGAAGACTGAGAAGCTCTGTTCTGGTGGGGAGGCGGGGAGGCATGGGGTGACCAGCATGGCAGCAGGGTGGGTAGATGGAGAATGAGGTTCAACTACTGTTGGAAGACCTGTCCCTGCATTTAAGCATTCTGAGCAGATCCAACTTACTAATGACCCCTCAGGGCTTTCAGAGCAGTATGGCTTGACACATAAATATTCATCCATCATTCTCAGTGTGCAAGATAAAGCTGGGATGTGGTCTTTCATTATAATCCTGGAGTCATTGAATTTGTTCTGGACTGGGTGTCTGGTGTTGCTTTTTTAACTCCCCCAGTAATTCAAATGTGCAAACACAGTTTGCTCTACATCACTGGGTGGGGTGGGGGTGAGATTTAAAACTAGGACCCAGGTTTTCAAAGTTCCTGTGATTGTTTTATACCTTTCTTCTAAGGCCTGCCACTGATACGACATCCTCACTTTCAAATGCTCACAGCGCTTCCTGTTTCTCCCTAAGTCCTGAGGCCCCATTACCTTCATCTCAGTGCTACCCTGATGTGTAGTGCTAACAACCATTTCTCATTCTGGGGGACCCAACGATGCATGGCGGGACTTGGAACATCTCTGGACACCCAGCAGAGACAGCAGTGGTTTCCCAATCCGTAAGAAAACCCCAAACACTTCTAAAGCTCTATGGTGATTCCCCCTTAGAGGCAAATGCCGTCCTCTCTACTTCTCTGCCCTGCCCTTAACTGTCCTCCAGCCCTGAATTCAACCCGCGTGGGTAACCAATTTGTGCATCTGCTCCAGCGTAGCATCACATTCAGGTGCAGAATGAAGCTGATCATTTCAGTTGCCGGGATTCTATTTACAATTAGGACTGCTCAGGGTTTCGCTTTTTAAATAATTCAGTGGAGCCACAATTAACATTTTCAAGTTCCTGTAGTCTCGTCCACTGGGCCTCCTCGTCTCAGTTCATTATTCAACTGCTGTCTTACGCTGGTGTCTCCTACATTTATGTTTTGAGCCCTTAATTCTGCACCATCAATTTCTCTATCCAACTACTGTTTGCACTTTGCTATCTCAGAGGCACAAAACTGTAATGTCCCAACCTTGCCTTTCCTGATGCTGCCCCACCGCCTAGGTGCACAAGATGGAAAGCCTAGAACAATTCTTCGCTTGCTCTCCATTTCCAGTACTTGACCAAGTCCTGCCAGTTTTACCCACAGGTGCTCAAAAGTAAAGTCAAGCTCTCTGTCACCTCCACCATCATCACCCTAGCCCCAGCAACACGATCACAGAGGGATCCCACGGGACCAGTGCAGCGGCCTCCTGTTTTGCTTCCCCTCCTCCACTCTCCTCCACCACGTGCCTGCATGCACACATTTACCAGACACTTCTGCCTATTCCACTAGTCTACTCCCCACTATCCTGCAGCCAGAATGGCCCTTGCTATTATCGTTATGAGCAGTATTGCCAAGGTAGATCCGGTTGGGTCACTCTTCTTTAAATTCCAACTCAGACGTTGTTCTACTTTGGATCTCAGCTAATCGGACACTCCTGCAGGAAAGGCATTCTTTTTTTTTTTTTCAAACGTTTATTTATTTTTGGGACAGAGAGAGACAGAGCATGAACGGGGGAGGGGCAGAGAGAGAGGGAGACACAGAATCAGAAACAGGCTCCAGGCTCTGAGCCATCAGCCCAGAGCCTGACGCGGGGCTCGAACTCACGGACCACGAGATCGTGACCTGGCTGAAGTCGGACGCTTAACCGACTGCGCCACCCAGGCGCCCAAGGAAAGGCATTCTTAAGCACACCAACGTAGATCGGGTTCATTATTATGTATGCTCACAGCACACTAGGCTTCTCCTTCGTAGGACTTAACACAATTGGGTCACTTGATTGATACTCCAATTTCCCAACAGATTAAGCTCCAAAGAGCAGGAACCATGTCTGTCTGATCACCCCTTAGTGCTAACAAAGAGTCTGGCATATAAATTTGTGAGTAAAATACCAGCTAGACTTTATCTTTTTACATTTCATTCAGTTCCATTACCTTTGATCCTTCAAAATGTTTCAAATGTAAAATGTTAAAAAAAAAAAAAAAGAAAAGAAAAGAAAAGAAAAGAAAAGAACTCTAAAAATTACTTCATTCTCCCTTAAAACTTTTCAAAATGCTACCTTGATGCAAAACCCTCAGATTTACGAAAGGAAAAGCTCATTGTGAGACATCTGCAAAGGGATATTTTTCACTTGTTTTTTTCTTCTGCTGCCCTAACCCACACTGGCTGGAAGATGCTATCGGGGTTTTTACCTGGACCAATTCAGCAGCGACATTGAGTCGGAGAGAGAGAGGCAGTTCTTGAAGGGCGCGAACCAATGACTCACAGTCCACATAAAATGCCGAATTCTATCAATAAACAAAAAATTACATATAAATCAGGTGATGATTACAAATGACCTTTTAGAAAAAGGCAGAAGATGATAGAAATAAACCATCAGTATAACCCCAAGTTATATCCTATTATTAGTTCCATTTTACAGATGAGAACACAAGAGAAGGAAACAAGTCAGCCCAAGTCCTAGAACTAAGATACACCCACCTTCAGGCATGTCTCTCCAAGGTCTGTGCTCTTACCCACGTGCTAAACTTCCCCCCAGAAGAAAATGAAGATCAAACTGCTGGTACTAACTGGCCCAGGACAACCCCTGAAGCCCCCTCCTCTGGGAACACTGCACCCCAATGACATCCTGACCCTCAGCACGGCCGGTCTTTCAGCTCTCCTCCCTTGACAGGACCCCCCAGAATCCTCTGCCGAGACGCAGCAAACGATCTCTTTCCCCGGTTGCTGCTCTCCATCCCTGCCAGCCCGACGTGGTCCCCACAGTATTATCTTCATTCACTGATGACCCCACTTATTTTATGTCACGCTTTTTCATTCATTACAAAAATATTTGCTGATCATCTACTTTAGGTCAGCCACCGTGCTACGGGCAATGCACGAGCATGGTCTCTGTCTGGTTCATCTTTGAACAGGCTACATCTAAAAAAATATCTAGTAAAGAGCAAGTTCTCAGTGTTCTGATGAATGAAAACTTTAGGATTATTTGAAACCCTCGGGATAACTGAAACCTTCTCTGAGAGTCAACACGGCCCAAAAGGAGTTGAAATGTGAGAGGTTATCTGTTTGCAATTTGTCCTAGAATGCTAAACTGCACCTCAGGCATCTGTCCACACAGACTCAAGCAGACAATATTTTTAATTCCCTACTTTCTCCATGGGGTAATACATGCCCTATGTAAAGTGACAGGCAGTCACTTTGTAAGTAACACCCCCCGCCGCACAGTGTGGTAAATCAATGCTCATCCCAAACAAGTAGACATCACACCAGTCCAGGGGTAAAATGAACCACTTAGAGTGTGCGTGTGTGCGGAGCTAATAGCAGAATGGGGAGGAGGGTGCCCGACCCTTGGGCTTCAGGTCTGCTATTCAGCCACCTGCCTGAAGCTGTGGACAGATTGTCTAATCATTGTATCAGACAGTGTGCCCTAGCCATGGAGTCAGGGAGCCCATGACAAGCCACACTCATTCTCTGCGCTTTGTAAAAGGGTAAGAACACCTGTCATCTCTCATATGGAAACAATCAGTCAAATCCCACTTGGAAAAGAATCGAAACTCCTTGGGATGGAAGTATGGCACGAACACAAAGCGAATGAAGTGGTTGGCCTTTCTGGATTCACTGAAAGGCTTCTGTGATATTTGTCCTTATTTTTACAGCTTTATTCTTCTAATTACAGATAAAGAGTTATCTAAAGCTATAAACTTGAGGATTTTTTTTCACCTGATACCAAAAGCAGTATGAGGGGGAAAAAATTACTTTTCAACTCCAAGGGGAAGTTTCACAGAAAGGGAAAGAAGAGAGGCCCAACGGCAGAGCAATCCACACAAAAATCATGACTATAAACTCACTACCTTGCAGCCCCGTCTATGTGAGGAATTTACACAGATGGCCAGGTGTAAAGGTGAACTCTAGCTTCAAAGACCTGTGTAATTTAAGCTTCCCAGACATTTTCTGAACGGTTTCTGTAACGGAGACTAAACTGTACATGAATGACTACTCTTTTCTACACGGAGACTCTATCTCAACAATAATGTAAGGATGTTAGTCTCCAGCCTTGAGCAGAGCCAACCCGCATTCGAGACAAACCGTCTTACCTGTTTTGGACACGACGCTTCACCATCCCACTCCTTCTCCTCGACAAAGCGGAACTGAGAGAATGAGTCCCCTAGAGATAGAAGAAAAAAAAACCCCACAATTTTATGCAAAAGCCAAAGGAAAAGGCTCAGTTCTCTTTATTTCCCCTCTGGCATAAAAGTGCCACTTCTGATGAGCTAACTGTGCTGAATTCGGCGACATCATTCAGTCGAAGTTCTTGGCTTCCACATCCTTACACAGCAATCTGTGCCCTTGAAAATATTGTGGGCGCCATCATTCACCGTTTCACCCAATTCTCAGTAAGCCACCATCTCCATGCTACTCGAGAGGCAACAAAATAGTTCAGGCCTGCAGACATGGCCATCTACTCGTATTTAGCACATTTTCATCTCACCTGCTTAATGTATGCAAGGAAACAGAGATTTATGAATTGAAGCGAATTGAAGGAAAGAAGTTCTGGACTCACCCACGATATGACAGACTTTTACTATCTCTCTCAGGTGAGGTGACCGTCCTCAACCATCACTCTAAAACTCACCTGGTTAGAATGTCAAATGCAAAGTAAAACTCAAAGAAGGTGCACAAAATTAGTTCATGTGAATCCTGGTGCGCTGCTCTGAGCTCGTGGAATAAAGGAAAATGAACACGTAAGATCAGCATAAACAAGCGTGAAAGATGATCCTGGACAGCAAGCTTTGACACAGGGCTTATTTTGTAAATGCATACTTATTTGGTTATCTGCATTAAGAACATCTAATTTACACATGAAGAATTCTTTCTCTCCCTAGCTTTCAGGATTCTCCAAAATGTGATCCTCCCTCAATAACCCATGTTTGCTTCCTATTTCTTCAGACTTTCTGCTCGAGTTGACTTCTTTTCACGTTCCAAACATACTTCATATTCTATCCTAGGCTCTTTCTTTTTCAATCCTCCCCCCTTGTCTAGAAGACCCACACACTTCTACCCATTCATATCATATTTATACTCTTTTGTGATACCTCTCAGGTGACTTAACCATAGAATCCATTCTTCTAAATTAAAAGAGGAAAAGGGAAGTGAAGAATTCAAAATTAAAGAGACAAAGATAAAATTAGACCCTATACTACCCCCATCATTTCCAAAACACATGGGTCAGAAATATGAACATTTGGCAAGAGCAAATTAAAAGCAAAAAGGACCAAGAACACCACTATTAGAAGGGGTAAAGTTAATACTCTTAGTCATCGGCAAATCAATTTGATCCCTCAAAAATTATGACAATAAAGGATCTGAATGATATAATAAGGTTTTTTATGTATATATAGATATGAGTATGTGCACATATATAATTGTATCTGTGTACTCTATAAATATCTGTGCGACATTAGTTTTTAAAAAGAGCTATAAAAAGGCCACCAAAAACCTCAATAAATCTGAAATGTAGCAGTATTTGCTAATGATAAACATTTATAGCACACATAAGCAAAGGGTTAATATCTCTTATATACAAAGAGCTTCTGCAAATCAACCAGAATAAACCACCTAGTAGAAAAAGAGGAAAAGGAGTGAAAATAAGAAATACCATTTGCTAATATATATAAATATATATATTATATATATATAATTATATATATACACATATATGAATAAATTAAAAATCTATCTGGTAGATTTTTAAAACTTGACCAAATATCTGAATGCCATATTCAGTGTTATTTTTGGCATTCCTGAACTTCTATATTATAAATAATGCTATATAATATATAATAATGCTATATAATAATGCTATTATAAATAATGCTATAATCATTATAAATGATGCTATGTCTGCATAGAATAATATATAACCAGCGCAAGGTAACAGTAATACAAACAAGGCATGCTACACTGTCTAATATTTGAATATTCACTTTCAAATACAGGTAAGATTCCAACAATGGCTAAATAGCTTGATGTAAACCAATCCCCTTACTGAGAACAGCTTAGGAACACTAGGCCAAAAAGAGCCACTTAGCACACAAGTGACAAAGGTCTCAGAAAGAAGAGAAGCTAAGGAGGTCAGCCTGACATTTAGAACTGCTTTTCCCTTTGAGGCATTTATTCATTCCCACAGGTGGTCCTGAGAAACTGAAGAACTGAGCATAAAGTAACAACCAGAGAATGCAGAGAGCTTTTGCTAGTTTTAAGGTACAGGGCAGACAAAAATTGGAATTCAGGGTCCAAGGATGAGGAAGAATCTTGGAAAACCCAAGACATTCACATGGGAGCCCTGATGAGTACATCTTAGAAGTGGGAGTTGGGGGGCACCTGGGTGGCTCAGTTGGTTGAGTGTCCAGCTTTTTATTTTGACTCAGGTCACAGTTGTGAGATTGAACCCCATCAGGCTCTGTGCATGGAGCCTGCTTGGGATTCTCTCCCCTCCACCATTTGCATGCTTTCTCTCAAAAATAAATAAATAAACATTAAAAGGAAGAAGGAGGAGGGGGAGGAGGAGGGGGAGGAAGAGAAGGAGGAGGAGAAAGAGGAGGAGAAGGAGAAGGAGGAGTAGGAGAAGGAGGAGAAGGAGGAGAAGGAGGAGGGGGAGGGGGAGAGGGAGGGGGAGGAGAAGGAGAAGGAGGAGAAGGAGAAGGAGGAGGAGTAATGGTGGGGATGAAGTAGGAATAAGCCAGACCTCCCACAGTCTAAGGCAAAGCTATAAATCATCTCAGTCTCTGATTCTGCCCATAAGAAGCAAAAGTAAATCCTTTTTGGAGGAAAATGACATTATCAATAGCCTAAAATTATCTCTACTATTTTTCATAACCAGTGTCCAGAGTTCGTTAAAAACCATCAAGCATATCAGGAGAGGAGACCAAGGTAACAAAAAACTAAGGTGACGGGGGGAGGGGGGGATAAAACCCTAAAAAGATCCACAGAGGTTAAGATATTTGACTTATCAGACATGGATTTTATAATTGAGCAATATAAACATTTTAAGAATAGGAAAATCTACAAAATCACAATGACATCCACCAAATCATCATGATTCATATAAAATGTACACATAAAAAATACAAAGAAGAAAATGCTTGAGGAAAATGAGATGCTGAAAACACAATTTGCTTACAGTAATCAAACTTCAAAACCACATTTTTAAAATTATAGGGGCGCCTGGGTGGCGCAGTCGGTTAAGCGTCCGACTTCAGCCAGGTCACGATCTCGCGGTCCGTGAGTTCGAGCCCCGCGTCGGGCTCTGGGCTGATGGCTCAGAGCCTGGAGCCTGTTTCCGATTCTGTGTCTCCCTCTCTCTCTGCCCCTCCCCCATTCATGCTCTGTCTCTGTCCCAAAAATAAATAAATGTTGAAAAAAAAATTAAAATTATAATAAATCACAGAGAGGCCAACATTGAAAAATAAGCTTGTTCAAATGCCTACGAAAGAATGCCAACCCCTCTGATCCTGTCACTGAAGGTGAAAGAGTATCCAGAATTGTGGAAATCATGAATCTTAGCATTTCAAGAGTGCTTCTGGAAAAGGTGTTACCTAAATTCTTCTTCCTCAATTATACTGCAACATGCACAAAAACAATAGTGATAGTACCAAATGTGCTACTCCTCTACCCTGTGCATCAGACATTTGGACATGTAGGCCTACTTTAAATAAAACAGCAGTTGAGCATCTGACTCTACGTTTCGGCTCAGGCCACGATCTCACGATTTGTGGGACCAAGCCCCATGTCCAGCTCTTCGCTAGGTATGCAGCCTACTTCAGATTGATATTCTCTCTCTCTCTCTCTTTCTCTCTCTCTCTCTCTCTCTCTCTCTCCCTCCCTCCCTCCTCTACCTACCTCCCCCCCAACCCTGGCCCCTCAGCCCCTCCCCTGCTCACACTCTCTCAAACAAACAGCACAGTTCCTTAACAATCTATTCAATCCTGCTCCTGCTTTACTCTCTTGTTGGAAGAGTTCCTGGTCTCTCACACTCACATGGTGAGTCCAGATGGAGAAGTATAGAGTAGAAACCAATGAACAGTGACAGCTAACTGTGGTTGACAATGAACAAACATGGGTGTCTTAAGAGCTGCAAGCGTTCAAAGTTTTGGTCACACTGTATGTTCAGATGGTAATTAAGGCACAGTGTAATGGACAGAACTAGAAAGCATAAAAGGAGTGCTGTACTTTCTTTCTTCTTCTTCTTCTTCTTCTTCTTCTTCTTCTTCTTCTTCTTCCTTCTCTTCTTCCTCTTCTTCCTCTTCTTCTTCTTCCTCCTCTTCCTCTTCCTCCTCCTCCCCTTCCCCTTCTTCTTCTTCTTCTTCCTTCTTCTTCTTCCTTCTTCTTCTTCTTCCTTCTCTTCTTCTTCCTTCTCTTCTTCCTCTTCCTCTTCTTCCTCTTCTTCCTCTTCTTCTTCTTCCTCTTCTTCCTCTTCCTCTTCCTCCTCCTCCCCTTCCCTTCTTCTTCTTCTTCTTCTTCTTCTTCTTCTTCTTCTTCTTCAGCCAAAGATGGAGGAAGAGCCAGTACCTGTTACACAGGCTGCTTGAGCAACAAAAACCCCCTAATATTCTACTTTGATAAGAATGCCAAAATCACAGGCCTGCTAAATCCAATGATAGCTTATTAAGAACATGATTTATTCACTAGAATTTGCTAAATAAGGCAGGGGGCATATTTAAACGAAACTGATATACTTTGAGAATTCACATTTTTCTAACATATAAGAAGTCTCGTATCATTCTATCGCAGAAATCATGGGGAAGCTGGTGTGTATGCAAGGAAAGCCAAGATACAGATACACGTGATATTGAAACAATTCTGTTACATCTTGAAAGTCAACCACATTAATTTACTGCCACAATTTTAGAGCCAAAGTTAATGACAGATTTTTTTCAAATAACTAATTGTATGAGGCAACAAAAATATTAAAAAGTTGGATATATGTGTTGGCAGCAATCTTAAGTATGCTCCTAAAAACATCGAGAGAGTATGTTTCCGGCAGTGCACAATGCTTCAATTTCTGAGTTTCCTTCCATTAAACTCATGATTGTCACACAAATCTCCAAGGCCAGTGGTTAATGAGGTTGTAAGTCTTTACCTAGTCTATTGCCTAGTTATTATTGG